TCGATCCAGTCTGTCCAGATCCCTCTGCAGAGCCTTCCTACCCTCAAGCGGTTCAACCCTCCCACCCAACTGAGGGAGCACTCAGTCCCCTCATCCTGATCATTGATAAAGATGCTACACAAGACTGGCCCCAGAACTGAGCCCTGGGGAACACCACTGATGACCAGCCACCAACTGGCTTTAACTCTATTCACACCACTCTCTGCGTTCAGCCATTTAGCCATTTTTTTACTCAGTGAAGAGTACACCTGTCTAAGCTGTGAGCCTCCAGTTTCTCTAGGAGAGATTGTGGGAGACATGATAGGAGTATGTTGGGGAAATAGGAGTGTGGATATATGAGAATTGAGATTTTTGTTGTGCAAAGATGTATTTCTGTCCTGTATCTTCCAGAAGAATCCAGAAAGAGTTGGTTATTTGGGTTTTGCAGGAATTAGAAGCTATGTATGAATTAATGTAGTTTTCCTGAATTCTTGTATGTTGTGTGTCCATGTCCATAACTATATGGAAGAAAAGTAGATGACAGTTTAATTTTGTGTCTGTTAATCTGTGATGATACCATGCTATCTCAGTAGAAGTTCTGGAGGAAAAAACGTCACAAATCCAGAACACCCAAACAAAAACTGACTTATTTTAGATGTGTTTCACCCAAAGTTTAAAAATGAGCTAGGAACAGCAAAATGACACAGAACCTCTAAAAAGACTGGGAAGCTGCTGAGGACCCTGCACCTTGTGTGAAGTGTTGAAGATGGTAACTAACAGCTACTTAACTGAACTTAGAGGACTCAAAATCCACTCAAAGTGAATGTTTTCCCCCAGAAACTCACCCTGTACCTCCCTCCACATCCCACTAAATATTTGTTGTAAACTCTAATATGGTGGTGGATAGTTTGGAAAAGGAAGATGAAATTGTGTAGATGTGGGATAGTCTTTCCCAGTTCCAGGAATCAGTGGCTTATGACTGTTATTTCTCAGCCAGAAAGTTCAGTAGGCCATTGTGGTATACAATTTAATCATCTTTAGATCCATTTATTCTTTTGAGTGTTTGAAGTTTTTTGTAAGCTTGCACACTTTTTTTTTTTTTTTAATTAATTTGCTTAGTATGGAGGCCTTTTAGTATGGAGGCCAGGGATAATGGTCTAACATTTTCTCAGTTGCCTTAAAATCCTTTAAACAATGTGATGTTTGAAATTCTCTGGTGAAGAGGTTAGTTTAAGCAACAGATTGCTATTATTGCAGACTTATATGTAGTATAGTAGTTCAGCAAAATCATACTGGAGTTGCTTTATCACGCTTGTGTGAATATGATTTGCCTCTCAAATCTCATTTATTGACATTTGGAGATGGGTTCTTTAATTTCTTTCTCACAAAGGAGGGCCGCCGGTAAGTTCACCTGTAGTGAAAATGGATATAAATAGTTAATTTGACTTTCTCACTAATTCTTTCTTTTCCTGGAACTTTCACTTTCACCCAGGTCATAACTCAGCACCATCAGTTCTGCACATTCCGACCGATTCTGGCACATTTAAAAAAAAAAAAAAACAGTGAACAAATCATGCTAGTTTTTCGATCTTTAGCAAATTGCTCTTTAACGATGTGAGGGTTTCTTTTTTCCTTTTTAACTTTATTATGGTGTCACTTCTGATTTTCCAGAGCTTATGCTTTGTCTTGGTTTCCTTACTTGGATGTGGCTTGCAGTATTTCAAGCTTTCTATTTTAGCTCAAATATTTTTGTAACCTTTGATTGTGTTTGTGTTTCATTGCTCTAACAGTCTCCCTGATGCTGTCCTGTGTTTAGTCTGAACTGCTAATGCTGTCTTTTCTACAGTCTTAATATTGCCTTCAATCTTTTTATACCTGTATCTTATTTGTCTAAGTTTTCAGAGTACAGTAATAATTCTCTAACTTTCATTTTTATTTTTTTTTTTAATGAAAGATTTCCCTGA